CACGAACAATGCGTTCACAATGCGCGAACAACACGAACAATGCGTTCACAAGACAATCAATACGCGGCCAGCGTGGTGCCGAATATACGCGGCTTGCTTAGCCACGGCTTGCTTAGACGCGATTGGTCCGGCCTGCTAAACGCGGAATCATATTCCGCGCCAACTAAGCCGCGTATATTCGGCACCACGCTGGCCGCGTATTGATTGTCGTGTGAACGCATTGTTCGTGTTGTTCGCGCATTGTGAACGCATTGTTCGTGTGAATTGCGAAACTGTAGCGCTCTAACCTAGACTGCTACCTGTTCGCTGCACGACGGTAGGGTAACGTGTGGAACTGTCGACCCGGTACCAGTCTATATTATACCGCGCTAGCTAAGCCTCGAATTTCGTGTATCTCGTGTGAACGCGTTTTAACCGGACTTAGCACCAACTAAGTACGGTACCAGCTAAACCGTGTATACGTGTGAACGCAGCTTATATATATATATTGAGACTTTGCTCGGTCATGTCGCACGGATGGAAGAAGGTGCCATAGCGAAAACGGCACTTAGATGGACGCCAGACGGGAGGAGAGAAGAAGGGGAAGACCCAAGGAGACTTGAAGAAGGACCATCGAGAAGGAGATGCGGATGTGTGACCTGTCATGGGACACGCTGCTGCCAGTAGCAGCGGACCGACAACGTTGGAGATCTCTCGTCACTGGCTTATGTGCCATCTAGGCACCTACCAGGGAGAATGAAAAATAATTATCTTTCGTAGGTGCCTATATATGGAGAGAGAGAAAGAGAGAAAGAGAGAGAGAGAGAGAGAGAGAGAGAGAGAGAGAGAGAGAGAGTAAGAGAGTAATCGTATATCTCATGAGACAGTGAACATGCTCACAGTTTTGCTTGACATTGGTTTTAGCGTATCTCAGAGATGTGCAGCAGAAGAAGAGGCAGAAGCTGCGAGCAGCGCAGCGTGCGGGCAGGATGCAGCAGCAGCACCGGAAACTGATGGATGCCATATCAGACGTCTCCAGCCAGCCGTCCAGCATCCACGCCGAGCATACGGTCTCGTTACAGAGCAGCACTGTGGCGGTGAACGTGAACAACAACGATCACAACAGAAACGTATCAGGTGGGTGGCTAGGGAAGAAACATGGGGGAGGGAGAAGAAACATGGGGGGAGAGAGAGAAGAGGATCGAGCGCGAACGAGCAAGAGATAATTAAATTAATTAACAAAAGACATTAATGGAGTGAGCGGTAGCTAGAGGGAGAAGGGAGAGGGACAAGATAGAGCAAGGAAAGAGCAAGCGCGAGAAAAATAGCGTGCGAGAGCTGGATAGGTGCAAAAAGAAGTGCGAGAGAGAGAGAGAGCAATGTAACTGATGAAGGGGGATAGGCAGAAGGATAAAGTGACATCTAAGCTGGGTGAAGAAGAAGAAGACGGGTAGTGGATTGAGTATATGCGCGCGTGTGCACACACATTACGACCTCACCATTCACTTTATCTCTTCTCTTTGTCCATCATCAGAGAAACGTGAAAAGTTTGGAGGGCCGAGCAAGTTCCAGTCCGAGATCTACCACCGCAGCTACGACTACCCGCGACTGCAGCTGAAATCTCTGAAGGTTAACCTTCACAAAATCTCCGAGGAGAATCTCAGCGATGGCGCCACCGGCGCCAAGAAGACGTTGCCCGGCTCCGTCGCCATGGCAACGGATCTGTGGCGATCGGCGTCGGATGCCGACGTTCCCCGCCTCTGCGCGCGCAGTGCCGACGTCGAGGAGCGGACTGGCAGCATCCCTGACGTCACGTCGTCGGTGCTAGCCGGCCAGATAGCCGCCAGGATGGAGGAGATACGCGCCGGCAAGCGTCCCGCAAAGTATCTCGACCAGGGGCGCCATCCGCAGCTGCCCAAGCACAGTCCCCTTGTGAAGAAGGTCGTCGCCGTGCACGGCCGCAGAGACGATAGCAGACGCGGTGACCACCGCGAGCCGATGCACATTTAGTGGCGTCTCGTTGCGTCACCAAATGGCCGGTTGGTGGCGCCACTTGTATCAATGAATGATCGTTGAGGGCATCAAAGAGCATTCGTAGATCTACCATAGATATGGAATAGAAGAATAGAATGTACTCTATATCTATGGATCTGCTGATCGTGTAGTGGCGTCCTCTTCATCTATTTATAGTGTATAGCACCCTCTCGATCTACTGATGTTTAATCATGTGACAATTTGGCTAGAATCTTCCGTGCCTAATTTGTGATTTTTTACACTTCATAACGAGTAATTTATAAATCGGGGAAAGTATACTACTATGTAACTGGAAGTTAATAAACAGATTATAGTGTCTCAATATGCGAAATGTTATATTATTTGGTAGTATCGGTCGTAAAATGCCGGCTTCCTACCTAACTAGAAACAGCAAAGATTTACAGGGCCGTTGCCATTGACTAATGTTGAAGCCCAGACACGAAGGCGCGAAGTGCCGTAAAGGGGGAGAGTGTGTGTGAAGGGTTTCTCCCTCCACCTGGATTGAAAAAAAATGCTACATGGAAAATGGTGTACGCTGGCGAGTTTTAAAATGAAATTTTAAAATTGAAACAGTAAAAATTACATTGTAAATTGTCAGTAAAAATCTTGTATCTGAGATTTCATAATTTATTAAAATGTTGAAGTGCTAGCTTCCGGACCTCCGCCTGGCGACGTGCCTGCTTTACATTTAAATAGTTAACAGCAGCCGAGTTGGGCATGTGCCAAACCACCGTATATAAATGAATTTATAAAACCAACGCACGCGGTAATGCACGCGCGTACGCGTATAATCGGGTCTAAATATACATATAGTACATCACAAATGCGAAAAAGGTTCGGTATAAAAACAGTCCGATCAAGGTAGTGGTTCTTAACCTTTTTTAAGTCATGGACCCCTTTGAGAATTTGGTGAAAGCTACGGACCCTTCCCCAGAAAAATAAGTTTAAGCATATAAATACAAAAATTTTTATGCGCCCAAAGGGGTCCATGGACCATAGGTTAAAAACCCCTGCACTAAGGCTTCGATTTCTCGGGCGATACGCACACGCACGCACGCACGCACGTACATATACAATACACCCATGCAAATACACACGTGCATGTATACCTGCACACTATAATCACGCGTGGCCTCTCCCATGTGAAATAACATCGATGCCATCCACGCACCCTGGAAATAGTATGGTGCCTTAGCAACCGGCAGCTGACAGTTTATGGATACCATTCTCCCCTATGGATACTATCAAGAGTCCAAAATAGAAAATAGAAAATAGAAAATAGTCTATTTTCTATTATGAACACTTGATACAATGCGCGCGTATGCGATGTGTATGTGAGAGTGCGTACGCGGGGCGGATCTAGAATTAGGTAAAGGGGGTCACGAATCCTTCTTTTGCAACTGCAAGTATAATTTCTCCAGTAGCAGTATGTAGCAACGATTTGCTAGAGTTAATTTAAATAGAATTCGGAACTTTCGGAATTGAGAATACAGTGTCAAAATCTATCTGATTACTATACAACCGTATTATTTCTTAAAAATATGTGCATTGACACAAACCCACTGATTAACATGACACGGCCCTTGCTTTTAGAATTCCAGAATTGACCGCTATTATTAGTTAACTTTCGCTTTACGCTTGATCTGCACTCAGGTGATCAGTCACCCTATTTCCATCTCGCACTATTGCATATTGCTTTTCTTGAAGGCCATCAGGGGAGGAAAATGAAAAGAAGAAGGCGCACATATTTACCTATCACAAACATGATGCTATTTATTTACAGCAAAATATATACTGTTTTTCACCCACTCTATAATTCTTGTTTATTGAAACCACCGAGTAAACTGAACCTTAAAACTATTCACCCGCGTCATATCTAGTAAAATGTAGCATGAACCCATATATGGTTTAAATTGCACCGAATATATTATTACACTCGTAAACGAACAGAAAATTTAAATGGTGGCGACGATGGCACACACGAAAACAAATACGTACCGCTTCTAGTCTCATCCTCAACTGTGATGTCACGCCACAACAAATACCGCTTCTACAGTCTCATACTCAACTGTGATGTGACACCACAACAAATATCGCTTCTAGTTTCACCCTCAACTGTGATGTCACACCACAACAAATACTGCTTCTAGTTTCATCCGCAACTGTGATGCCACACCACAATAGATACCGCTTCTATAGTTTTACCCTCCGCAATGGCGTTCTAAACAAATCTTAATTAAATAAGTTACAGATGATAAGTTATAAAAATAAAATTATACACGTCAATATAGTGCAATTAAGCTGCATGTCTATCAGCTATTTATAATAATTATCAGCCTAGCTACTCAAACGCTTCAAAACGTAAAATTGCAACTCTGTTTTTTTTTAGAAACTGGGGCTGGAACGATACAGGTTGATAATATAGCATGTCCGCATAGTTCCTATATGATGTTAATTTGCTGTAGCAGCGGAACTGTGCTACCACCTACCAGTCAGCGATTCAAACATGTAAGGATAGGTAAGACACGATGAAGACAGACACGGCTGTATGTTAAATACGAGATTAATCGTCTAGCAATAACCTTGTTCCATTCAGTTTCCACAAAATTGTCTTATAAAATAAAATGAAAAATAATACTTACACGTTCACATCTTTGGGATAAAGAGCAAAATCAATGCAACACTGATTAGAATGATCAAAGGTAAAACTAAAACGCACCTGAATGCGTGAATTCTGATGTGATGTAATTAATTTAATAGCAGAAAAGACAAAATACGTAGCTATATTAGCCAAACAAAGACTTCTTTAACATGAAAACCAGCACGCATTAGAATCAACATGTTAATCACAGATGATGGTGGATTCGTGCCTGCTGAGATGTATAATACAATTTGGCAGCTGCTCATTTCGGAAATTTACCATGAAAAATAATGCCGAGGGGGATAAACTCTCGTGTTCAAACGACCGCATTTGTCAATAGGCAATGTCGTGAATAGGCAGACAGCACAAAAAACCTGCTACTCGCCCTCGCTTGTCATTTAATCGTATGTTCACACACTGGCACTCTACTCTCATATATGTGCCTCATGCACACACACGCGTCACGTGTATGTCCGTATGCTACAATAAATCAGTGAATGTAACCTACTAGTACCCTTCTAGCATGTTGTATTCATACTCCGTTTTACATACCGACGCCTTCGTTTTGCCACACTCTACTAAATACCCGATCTGTGGATGGAGATAACTGGAAGGTCTGCTCTAATGCCAATGCTATCCTTACCATGTATATGTTATCGCGTTCTGTTTGGTACATAAAATACATTATTTACACTCGTGCAGATAGGCTTGTGCAGATGTGCGACGTGGCGTTACCTATACCGTACACTTAATAGAATCACAAGTTACTCAAGTTATGTTAGCCTACATTGTCCGTATATATTGCGCGTTTTGTTAACGTATCTGATATGATATGATATATATCTCGATATATATGTATATATATATATATATGTCTGGTTACTTGTTGTCTGTTCTGCAGTGTTTAATGACAAGTGGTATTTGAATGTGACAGATTAACAATGTTTTTCGCAATAGATCAAGCCAGCAGATTCTCGGGCTAAATGTGCGTCGATTTAACTGGCTGGCTCTCAGTCCTACGTTTACAATTCTATACCATCCGCTAGAGCCGTGTAGCACCGGCCATGTTTTATACAAGAGACCCCCCACACCGCACAGCTCAGTCCGTCTTGAGGCCGTAGCCGTTTGCTAGCATCTGCAGGTAGTACAGCAGTATGTGCATCTGTGACATCACGTCCATCGTGCCGACGGCAAAGGCGTCCTCCACTGCCCCCTGGTGGGCGGCCGGCCGCAGCAGGGTTGGGCCGAAAACCGTTGCCAGGTTGTGAAGCGACATTTTGTTCTCAAGGTCAAACTTGTTTAACCTTGAGGGGGCAGATGACAGAAATAAAGCGTCAACAAAACACACGAACACACGGCAGTTCGCTAACAATGGCGGCTGTGAATACAGCTAGCCAATCCTGATGACTATGTCACAGGTCATAAGTCATACATTAAATTTAATATATATATCAAGAGTCCATAATAGAACATTTTCTATTGTGGACTCTTGATATATATATATATATATATATTTATGTATTGATTGATTGATTGATTGACTGATTGATTTGTAGTATATATGATAGCTTTTCACTATATTCTGTGTAAGTGACATCGACAAGTATATTAACGTAACGTATAACATAACACGATATACACCAACGAGTCGATGATACTGACCTGATCATGTGGTCGATCAAGTAGAGAACTGTGCGGTAGTTAATCTCTGGCAGTTGGTTGAGCAGCTGCAGCATGCAGTCGCGCCGTGCTTCCGGGTCGGACAGAGCTGAATACACGGAGAGAAAAGGCCATGAGGAATAAAAAAAAACACATTCACATGGATCAGAAGATGGTGCAAGGCCACCTCACCTACTGTATTCAGGGGCGGATCCAGGATTTTTGAAAAGGGGGTGCCCAGGAAGAAATAAAGGGCACTTTTTCCTGCTTACTTTTTTTGGTGTTTTAAAAAGCTGCCGAAGGCCACTTAGGGGGGGTTTGGGGAAGGTACCTCCCCCACAATTTTTTTTT